TCTATGGAATATTGAGACTATTTCGGGATTTTATTCTGGCCGTTAATTAACGGTCTTGACACCGCCGAAAGATCGTCGCAAATAAACGCTGGAGTTGTGCATGTTAGTTTGACAGTGGTTCACTGTGGGTAATATTTAACGATGTTCTGATTGTACAAACTTCATAATATTGGTAAGTATCAAGTTAGGGAAGAAATGAACACGTCCACATAAATTTTATTGGTGTCCATAGACAATATCATTAATTTGCACCACGTAAAACTTGAACGTAATTTTAAAAGCTCCGAATGTTGGGAAATTTATGCGCTAATGAATAAAAATCAAATACCGGATAATAGTTGTTTATTTCATCTAAATTATGCCAAATTTTCATGGAATTCCATGCCACAGCAGGCAGTCAGTAGTCGTTTGTATGAGCCGTATTCCGACACGGCGTAAAGGTACTTAGCAGACGTGATGCGTACATTTTTTCGCGCGAATAAGCGGATTTTGTCATATTTCTAATTCATGACTGCAACGTTTTGATAACAGCTAAACTCAGGATTGTCGTCTATATACAGAAATCTTGTATATTTGTTTTCCTAGGATGTTCTCGATCTATATTCTGCGATATATATAGAATTTAATATTTAAATCTTCAGAAATGTAGAATAAATATTGTTGAATAAATTGAATGGATTTCCCAATTATTGTGAATTTATTGTATTGCATTGACAAAATTATTTGTCCGGCTCGTTTCAACACAGTTTGAGTCATACTCGGCCCGCGGTCAAAAAAGTTTGGTGACCCCTGTTCTAAACCATTAGCTATCAGATGGTCTGTAATATGTCATATAAAAGCTTATCTAGTCTTTTATTTATAACTGGCATCATTTTTACGAGATGTTTTGGTGAGATGTGTAAGCCTATTTTTAGTCCCATCTACTAATTTTTTGTATTTTGGTAAGATTTGATAACTTTTTAAGAAATGTGTCATCGATATATGTAATATTTTAAAAAGTATACAAAATTACCTTTTAAGGGATATAAGGATGATTTTTCTAACTTACGCATAACTCATTTTATTGCAAAATTTGTGCTATCGATTCCAATGGTTTGTGAACAAAATTGGTCGACTATTTTGACGCCAAGTTTGCGTAACGACGCGAAGGGCGACGACGACATTGTCGTGATGACGTTTACGCGACGTTTCGTGCGTGAAGCTTTGCGTGAGGTAGATTGCGCAATTGTGCATCTGGTCGTTCACAGCTTGAGTTCAGATTGTGCCATCATTGCATCAGTATCATATCCTGGGCCGCAGATAAAACCTCTATATTTAGACCAGCGTTTCCCAACCTTTTTTGGTCGCGGACTATTTTCTCAACGACGAAAACCTTTGCGGACTCAATGTCCGTTTATTGCAACCGTACCAATGAAACCAAATACAACAGAATTTTAAATAATTTCAAAATCGGAAATTTGCCGCAATTACGCGTTCGTTAAAAGAGCCTTTTCTGTAGCACAATATTCAATCCATGACAACAATGAGAATTTATAATGTCATTCTATCTCAATTTAATTGTGTTCATAGTTACTCGCGGTTGCGTTGATTTACGACAAGATGAAAGCATTACCTATTTAAAATGCCACGGCATTCTGTGAACATACAAATGTTGGAATATATTTCCTGATTACATTTAGTTTTGATATATATTTTTTGCAATCTTGCGAATTCGTTATCGCCGTTAGAAAAATCCTACTATCTGCTATAACTTTCCAGAATATAAAAATATATTTAATACTAATAAAGCAAGGCGATGGACATGTATTTTTAATTTACTAATATACTACAGTAAGTGCCCCGACTTACGACGTTGTTCCGTTCTTGAGACGCGGTGTAACCCGAATTTTAGTGTAAGTAGGAACATTATACATAAATTACTCTATACATATCGTACTGTATTGTAAAGTATGGTATTGTACAAATAATGCAAAAAAGTAGTTTATTAGAAAAACAGAAAACAATTCCATATCGATAATCGTAATAGTTCGCAATTGTCCACGTCATTTACGATGTAAATGACGAAAACAAATGAGCCCAAAGCACTGATTTTCTTGATCACAATGATCCAGTTTAAGGGCTTCGATATTACAGTGTTATCTTTTATATTTTCATGGAGTGCGTTCGTAACCTCGAAACAGCGTAAGTCAGGGCCGTCGTAACCCGAGGATTTACTTTATTTAATTGTGATAATTTTAATCTGCGGTTGTGTTGACGTAATGAAAGCAATACTACTCAGAAAATATCATGGCAACCCGTGGACACAAAAATGCGTGGTAAAGTGTCTGATTACATTCTGTTTTGATTCGTATTTTTGTGAATTCGACAAATCTTATCCGGTCGTACAACACTTACGGTTGGAGGCAGTAAAGAAAAGAATCCCAAAGGAAAAAGCTCTGGTACGTATACCACGGTAGCACCCGAAATTTTCCGATTTGCAATGTCTGAAAAAAGCGTTTTTAATCGGTCGCGGACCATCATAAAACTTATTGTGTACTTCGTTTTATTTTGAGTATACTACTCAGTAACCAGTAATTATTGACTGGATTAGTGTTATGTGAATGAACTTGCTTTTTATGTTTCATGTAAATTCTAACCTAAATCGTAACTTGGCTGATAGTTAAGTATCGCAAAAACGTTTGCGGCGCGCAGTGAATTTCTGTCTCGTTGCGGACTCATCCAAACGCTCCGCGGACTCATTTGGGAACGCGGACTCGGGTTGGGAAACACTGATTTAGACGAATCTCAATCGAACATAGATAAAATGGCCAGGAATAGGAAGGCCTTTGTATTTACGTTTATTATCTGAATATGGAATGCAAATGAATGGCCAAAGTGAAATATCTGATCCTCATGCGTTTATGAGGTTCCGCCGGAAATCAAGGCTAATTCTTCACCGTTGGATATCATGAAGATTTAAAAAAAAAATTGATAACAGGAACGTGGAAGACATGGTGGCACCGGTAGCTCATTTACAGTATTTATATTCTACATTATTTACATATTGCTATATTTACAATGGATTCTAAACGAAAGTATTTTTCCGACGAAATATTGGATAGTATTCATCTATCGAAAGAAGAAAATCCGAACGATTCCAACAATCCTGACAGTGACGATTTCGAATCGGAATTTGATGACCATCTGATGGAAGATGATGTTTTTACGTTAACGTCTGTGACCGTGCGGTCTTATGAACCGGCCAATAATATGCCAGCAAGGGCCTATGCAATTATGTCATCAGGAAGCGTTGAACCGGCATGGGACTTTTGCCATTACTGATTTTCATATTTTATGCAATTAAACGGCAATAACACTGCTTATTCTGTGTTTTCGTCGAACAAATTTTGAGGCTGGATGTAATGCGTAAATTCCCCGTGTTTCGTTTACAAGTCGTTTGTCGCTTCATGAGTACGAACTTACCTAAATGACTTTACGAGCTTGGGGGGAAAAGTGTTTTTCGTATGAAACGTAATCGTGCCAAGTGACGACATAATTGCGTAACGTCGCTGCGTAACGGCGTAAATGTGTTAGGTCGTTTATGTTGCGACAAAGAAAATCACGAATAAAAATGCTTCTAATATTTAAATGGTGCAACATGATTTCAATCTAATGGTATCATTGGAAAGCTATCTTCAACTTCTACAAATGTTGTCGATGATGTACTAGGTTAAATCGAGAACAAATTAAAGATTTTTCAATTTGATTTTGGAGTTTTTCAGAAATTTTTTATGCTTTTCAATTTTCATAAGATGATCACAATATTTTATTTTAAAATTATATGTAGTCTTGTAGATTATCTATCACACGATATAAAACTTGTCTTTATAATATATGGTTCGTGAGATATGAGGGTTTCAAAGTTGCATACCTCGTACGGGACGCCAAAGGCGCTATAGCTGCTTTCAGCGTCAGAAGACGTTCTCGGAAATCGGGTTTCAGGGTTCAAAGAGCAGAAACCCGACAGAAACCTCTCTCGTAGCGAGATCTTTTCGCAGAATTGAAAATAAATACGAATTATGTAACATTTACGTAATTTTACAATTTGAGAATCGATTAGGAATTTTGAAATGAAAGCTCTAGAAACATTGTCTCTGGTGGTTAACTCACCATTTTCGCAGTGAAAGTAAAAAGTCATGTAGTCCATTAGAATGAGCATAATTGGCGGTGCAGTGATATGTGCTTACGCGATACTTACAATATAGGGACGTAATATTGGGTTACTGGCGGTGTTCGGAGTCGTTATTCGTTTCACTTTGTATCGCGCGTTTTTATGAATATACAGGTCGCCTCAAAGTGGTTTGACGTAAACATTTTTCTAACCGTTGTTTGAATTTTTATGCTATGATCTAAGTATACTGTTAGACTCTATTCCGGGTGTCGCTGCTTGATGACCAGTATTAGTTTCCGGCAAAAAATGAACTACTGATTACTGATGTTTTTACATTAAAACATTCATCTACCGTGTTTTTCCTGAAACATACAACGTCTTATTTCAATTTTCTTTCGAAAAATAACACTAGAGCTTATTTTGGTAGATGTCTCTTATTTTCATTTATCAAAAACAAAATTACAAAGTAGGAATTACGATATTATAAAATTTTCAAAATCTGAAAACTGATATTTATTTACTTATAAATAAAATAACTGCTAAACATTGATTAATAATCATTCAAAACGAGTAGAAAAGATTTCTAGCTATAGACTAGGTTAGAAAAAAATTTGCACTAACGACTAGGTCTTATATTAAGGGGACGGCTTATATTAAAATCATTTTAAAATTCAGGCTAGGTCTTTTATTCCCTCTAATATTTATTTATACAGTTCGAACACACCATGGCCCAAAACAATGAATGATATACACAAAATTAGGTAACGGTTGTTATTTCCGTTATAATTTCAATCTTTCAAGAAATTTTCAAGTTCCGTCACTCTAAAAAAAACTCCAGATAAGCACACGCCTAACTAATTTCGTCTCCCGAATTATGTCCTGAGTCACCCTTGCTAATATTTGACGAGGGAGCAAACGAATCTCTTCCAGACCAAGCGTTTACTGAGAATTGGTCCGTTGCCCAGCTCCCTGAGATAGACTGCAATTCTTCGCTCGGTGCATTCCCACTGCTTCCTGCTTCGTCCGAAAACACACTTTGTGTAGGTGACATCATGTCTGTTCTGAGTGAAGCTGTAGAGAAATCAGAGATTGTGCTCCTGGTTGCGCATGATGGAGGCGGATCCGATACTCCAGTATTGAAATTTTGGGTTGCAACCCAATTGAGAACTGGGTCTGAAAAAGGGGGAAAAGATTAGGTGAAATCTATAACCAGAAAGAAAATCATTAAGCATTTTGTGGATTATTTTTGTATCAGCGAAATCTTAGGTATGTCCGAAGACAAAAAATATAAGAACTATAGTTCGTATGAGATAAAAAAAAAACGCTAATTTGAGCAAAAGGATTCATAAGTCTATATTTTTTAATTATGTTTTTTTTTATCTACGAACTTTTTTAAAATACGCAAATCGAACTAGAGTTGAATGTTGTCTGTCAATTTCACTGAAAATCGTAATGCCATGTCACCGATTTTGTAAAACAAATTGCGCCAGATCCAGAGATTATGAAATTACTTTTTCATTGATGGTGTTAACTCAGTTTTCAGGACATTAACGGAGCGTAATTTTTTGATGCTGGTCCGCTTGCAATAAAGCCAGATGGAATATTTATGAAAAAATTACCTCTGAATCTTAAAAAGTAACATTTGCCAAAGAGTCTTACCTATTGTTGGTCCAGAATTTTCCTTTATCACGGTTAAATAGTCATTGTCTGTGTGTTTCATGCGATAAGTTTTCTAAATACAAATTTCCTGTTGTATTTTCTGCAAAATCTTTTTGCCAATAATTCGCAAAACGTATAAAATATCCAATTATGTTTATCTGCAATATGTAGGATTTGAAACTTTAGGAAAACTGAAAAAGTCGCTAACAACGCGTGCGATTGTCCCCTTTCTTCAAATCGCCGATTGCCTTTTTTTGTCAGCGCGACGTGCCATCTAGGCCGCAAACACCTTCACTTTGGTGTTCACTCTCAATCACAAATCTGTGCCACGACAACAATCACTTTATTTTTTTTCGAATTATGAATCCGGTGAGAGTTATTATACGTACATCGGCGGCAAGATGCCAAAGACAAACAAAGGAGTTAATCCGCGACGTAAATTTTTTGACCGAAAAGCAACAATATAAAATACCAAAAACAAAACGGTAAACAATATAAGTTTTGTTGCACGAGGCCGCGACAGATTAAAAACGCGTAAATCGCAAAATTTCGTGTACCTATGGCACACATTATGTTTGGTCGGCGTTGGGAACCATATCGTCACTAAAATCGAAACACAGTCCTATGTGCGCGGGATTAACTTTTAATCCGCTACCATAAACTGCCGACAATTTTTGCTAATATTAAACAAGGTTGGGGACGCGAATTTTTCACGAGTTGTGGTGATATATAGGATAATTAATTAAAGTATACTCAATCAATTTTTATTGCACTAAAATAAATTTTACTCCATGTGAATTTTTATAGCAGACTTAGGGATATTTCTAACAGTTTTATCATTAAAATAGTGCGAGTGGCAGCATTGCGATAAAGCAGAGTTGGGTGTAGCAAGTACAGCTCAGACTTGTCAAATTTGCAAGATGGAAAAATGCAGATCAAAACTAAATATAATCGGGAAGTTTACCACAAATCTTAATGTCCGCGGTTTGCCGCGGTATTTTAATGAAGTGATGCTTTCATTTTGTCGACTCAGCCGCAGGTTAAATTAAAGACATTTATATTAATAAAGCAAGATATTTCAGATAGGTTCGTATCGGTCATAGATTGATTACTTTGCACAACAGAAAAATCATTATTACTCGCCAAAAAAGTTGTTTCGCAAGGATTTCAGGGCGATGAATATGTAATTTTGTAAATGAGCTTCATTGCTCATTTGTGCAGGGATTAGTGTTTACGCCACGCCAGCGCACTGGTAACCTACTGTTAATATCGCTCTCAACTGTTTGTTTCCTCATTGGACCGTCGCGAGAGAAAGTAAAAACGCGATGCAAAATGCGTGTTATATACATAGCATCGGTTTGAAAATTCTAAATCAGATGCGTCAAATAGCTGGTGTGACCCGGATAACTATTGACGATCGGTAACTCCTTTATAATGACTAAGTATTGGTTTAGCATGTATTTTCAGTCATACATTCCATCGCTGGCCCTGTGATATTTAAAAAAATATGATTTCTACTGCACCATACTTGGTGTGGGTATGGAGAAATTTCAAACGTGAAAAAAGGTAAAATTAATGGTAATTTTCACGCGTAACGGCGCGCATTAGAATGTTTACGTCTTTCTACGCGCATTAACGTCGAGAAAAATTGATTTTTTTTGCATTTGGAGGGCCTGTGCAGTAATATTTAGAGGTGTGACGTCATCAAAATTGTCAATTGAAGCGTTGAACTTGAAAATTCAGTAAATACAATTGTGAATTTCAGAGTAACCATTCTTGCTATAATAGTGGTTTAGGTATTGTTCTGTTGAAAAAAACTTCTGGAAGACGTTGAAATAAAATTATTCAATTAGGTATAATTTTTAACCCTTTACTGGACACAAAATTTCTCACGATCGAGATTTTTCATTAGAAATTTTCGAAATTTTGTCGCATTAAAAAATAAATATTAGAGAAGTGTGTTTTAAAGATATATTGCCGAATAGAACTCTAGCACACGCTTTTAAAAAGGCATGAGTGAAGCTTTAGGGCTTAATGGTTGACAAAAAAAAATGATTTTAAAAATACCAATGAAAAATGGCCTAGAGGGGCAGCTGCGAGAAGGATTGCTATAGAAGGAAATTTTCGATTCTCGTAGCTCTTATGAATTGAATATTTTACGCGACAGAAAAGTCGGTATACGATTAAAAAACTGTTTCAGAAGTAAATGAAAATTTCCAATTTTGACCCCCTCCCTTTTGAAAATCCTGGTTGCGCGCCTGACTTTATTATCAAACTAACCTGTTTGTGGAGGACTTCATTTCCGAAGTGTCCAAACATTGGTCTTTCCAGCACCCTCTGAATAAAGCAATTTCAACCAGTATATTACATCCGTAATTGAAAAGATTTTTATTTAACAAGGTACATTATTGGCATAAGTAAGGGTTTATGTCTACTAGGTGTCGAGGGAGAGCATTGACCTTTCAATTTAAAGCTCGGGTAAGATCCGCGTGTCCGCTCTCGTGTACTCTTTTGCGCTAATTGTCCCGCTAGTATTTCGTTCATATTGATAGTGCTGACTTGGTGGTCCAGCAATGACCTTGTATATGTAATTGATTTGTATAAATTTAGGGTACGAGTGTAAAGAAAATCACAACGCGTGCGATTGTCCCCTTTCTTCAAATCGCCGATTGCCTATTTTGTCAGCGTGACGTGCCATCTAGGCCGAAAACACCATCACGTTGGTGTTCACTCTCAATCACAAATCTGTGCCACGACAACAATCACTTTATTTTTTTTTGAATTATGAATCCGGTGAGAGTTATTATACGTACATCGGCGGCAAGATGCCAAAGACAAACAAAGGAGTGAATCCGCGACGTAAATTTTTTGACCGAAAAGCAATGATATAAAATACCTAAAACAAAACCGTAAACAATATAAGTTTTGTTGCAGGAGGCCGCGACAGACTAAAAACGCGTAAATCGCAAAATTTCGTGTACCTATGGCACACATTATGTTTGGTCGGCGTTGGGAACCATATCGTCACTAAAATCGAAACACAGTCCTATGTGCGCGGGATTAACTTTTAATCCTCTACTATAAACTGCCGACAATTTTTGCTAATATTAAACAAGGTTGGGGACGTGAATTTTTCACGAGTTGTGGTGATATATAACAGGGGTGGCCAACTTGCTTTCGTTCGCGATCGACTAAAATCTTCAAAATACTTCGCGATCGACTAATCGGTAATAAGGTCATAAACAAGAATGAATGAATACTGAATACGCAGATAACCGCACACACGCATACAAAAATTCCACCGCTGCTCGGTAATAATAAGCTTGGTTCTTCGGGCGCATTCTCAATGAAATTGCCTCATAAATTTGCATTTTATATATTCCATTCAATTTGTTGATTTGAATATATAATTGTACACGGAGTAAATGTTTCATTATTTATTTTAGATTTATTCAAATCATACAATTCAGATATAGGGCCTGTCTAATTTTTAGTCGTAAGAGTTTTCAATTTCTCAAAAAACCTTGAAAAATATCCATGTATTATTATCACATGGCTGCTCAAACTTCAGTATCTAATTTACAATTTTCTTCAAATCCACTCTTTTGCTTGCTTAGAATTAGAAAAAAATTGGGCATTCTTATGCCACTGCTACCGTTGCGAATAAAATTTATCACACATACTCTTGGAGTGAGACAATAACTTTCGCATAGTGCAGAAATTATTGAAGAATCGTTTGCCAGTCAAGACACACGATATTCTGCAAGTTCATTTCTAAAACTTGGCAGCAGTGAAACTTGCATTTATTACGTAATGATATGCTCTATCGGGCTTGTTTATACCAAATTACTGCATGTGTATATCGTATTTTGTGCATGTACAGTACTATATTCTTCCTGTTTAAAACACACAACAGGCGCTCTATTAAATTGGTTCAAGGCAATTTTTTGGATATGTTATTAAATTCACTCAACATCAGACGCGATCGACTACTCGAAACGTGGCGATCGACCGGTCGATCGCGATCGACTTGTTGGCCACCCTTGATATATAAGATAATTAATTAAACTATTAAAGTATATTCAATCAATTTTTATTGCACTAAAATAAATTTCACTCCATGTGAATTTTTATAGCAGACTTAGGGATATTTCTAACAGTTTTATCTTTAAAATAATGCGAGTGGCAGCATTGCGATAAAGCAGAGTTAGTGTAGCAAGTACAGCTCAGACTTGTCGAATTCGCAAGATGGAAAAATGCAGATCAAAACTAGATATAATCGGGAAGTTTACCACAAATCTTAATGTCCGCGGATTGCCGCGGTATTTTAGTATTGCTTTCATTTTGTCGACTCAGCCGCAGGTTAAGTTAAATTAAAGACATTTATATTAATAAAGCAAGATATTTTAAATATATTCGTATCGGTCATAAATTGATTACTTTGCACAACAGAAAAATCATTATTACTCGCCAAAAAAGTTGTTTCGCAAGGATTTCAGGGCGATGAATATGTA